GCTTATATCTTGTTAAACGTTTGATAGTTACGCTCAGATGTGCTGTAAACGTTACCACATCATTTTTTCAACATCCTCCTTGAAGTTTAAGTGCAAAGCTTGTGTTCAGAAAGAAGTAATTCATAATTTTAAAGATCACATTTTGGTCACGTGACTAGCGAGGAACTTACTCATTTTAAGAAAATGGTGCGGGTTTGAAAAACCAAATCACTATTATTCTGTTCAAGATATGACCCACTAATCGTTTTTCGAAGGCAAAATCATATATCTTTCATTTTCATGAAAACTATGTCACATGACCTCTTACTGCAAATGGCCTATTGTCTCTGTTTCGTTGTTTGTGCCAGCCTGGTCTCTACTCGTTTTGGCTTGGTCACACGTGGACCCTACTGTGAGCTGTGACGTAACCGAAAAGCCGCCGGAACGTTCCCTTTCTCAAGTTGCGCCCGTGGACGACGGGGCAAGAGAGAACGCCTTGGGACCAGGCTGGTTTTGTGCCTGTTCTTGGGGTTGCTTAGGCCCCACAATCTCTGACCTGACCCTGATTTATTTTAGAACGCCGTTTGGACGAGAGTGTGAGGTTGTAGCCAAAACAGAAGTAGATTCGCATAAAGCAGAGACGCCAAGCAATCATTGGGTTTTTGTGACACGTGAGGTGAAAGACGCAGCGAGAGAGCACGAGCTGGAGCGGGAACAGGAATTCAAGGATCTACTAACACGGCAACAAGCCGCTGAAGCTGAAGGAGCCCCTCCTAAAGAGGAGATACCCGGTGGATCTGAAGAGACTCAGCCCGGGGAGAGCGGACAGCTTGCTCAATAGCACCTCACCCTACCCTTGTTATTCTAGTTTTAACCCCCTCACATTAATAAATCTTCCTTTGTTAATTTTAAAAAGATTTAGTTTAGCCTTATTTCATTAGTTATAGTTCCATTCTGCTTAATGAACTCACTCTTTGCTGTTTTATGGTTTCTTTTATTTATAATAGTTGTGACTTCTATAATAGTTGTGACTGTTGATTTGTAACTCATTGTATTTTCACTCTAGCTGTAAATAATCTCAAAACTCATGCTCTGTTAATAGTTGAAAGTAAATAAATTATGTTTTTGATGCAACTGTGTTTACGTTGCCGATATCTGACACACCTAATACCGACTAATACCATAGTAACTAAGCGATTACCCCCCCCCCCCCCC